GCCCACCACCCCACGGTCCCGGTCCTATCCGGTTAGGACCGGTTAGGCCCACCGCCCATTTGGGCTTGCAGTCCTAGGCCGGTCCCGGTCCTAACTGGCTCACATGCCACCCTTATCTAAATCTCCATTTAAGAAAGTTGTCTTTATATCCACCTGATAGATTTCAAGGCCATACACGATGGCTAACTCTATTACCATCCGAATAGATGTAATTCTCGTTACCGGTGAGTATGTGTCAAAGTAATCAAGACCTTCTCGTTGTCTTAATCCTTTGGCAATCAATCTTGCCTTATATTTGTCAATAATACCACCGGTTTTCATTTTCCTTCTGAAAATCCACTTAGAACCAAAAGGTTTATTTCCTGGAGGAAGATCAACCAGTTACCAAGTACGATTACTTAATATGGGTAATATCTCACTATTGACTACCTCTTTCTAACATTGTGCTTTTGAGAAAGACATTGCTTCTTTAAATATTTGAGGCTCATTTTCCAACAAGAATGTCAGAAAATCTGGTCCAAAGGAAGTAGTTGTCCTTTGACGTTTACTACGCCTTGGATTCACCTCATTAGGTGTACTTTTCTTTGCTTCTTCTCGAGGCCGCTTAGATATTTCACTAGACGACTCACATTACTATTTATACAGATAAGTATTCTCAAAGAATTTATTATTATCCGATTCAATTACCGTATTAATATGAATGCCGGAATTTTATAATTTATGAACCAGAAAATGATATGCCTTACTATTTGTTGCATATCCTATGAAAACACAACAATAATTTTCGGTCCGATCTTTATCCTTTTGGGTTTAGGAACTTGCACTTTAGCTAAGCACCCCCACACTTGAAAATATTTAAGTTGGGCTTCCTTCCATTCCATTTTTCATATGGAATGGATTGCGTCTTGTTATTAGGAACTCGACTTAGTATTCGGTTAGTTGTAAGAATAACTTTCCCCCCCACAAGTTCTAGAGTAAATCAGAACTTATCAACAAGACATTCATCATCTCCTTTAACGTTCTATTCTTTCTTTCCGCAATTCCATTAGATTGCAATGACAAAGAGGCGGTCGTTTGGTGAATAATTTCATATTCCAAACAAATTTTTTCAAAAGGGGATTTATATTCGACGCCCCTATTACGTTGTAGAGTCCACTACAATAACTGTTGTTTATGTCACGATATAGCCATGATTAATAAATGGTGAAGTTTTTAATATTCAAACCAATCTGACACATTCAGAATTAATAAACGGTAAAGTTTTTAATCTTCAAACCGAGTAATATGTGACACAATCAAATTTAATAAACGGTGAAGTTTTTAATCTTCAAACCGAATAATAAATTAGAGTAGAAAATCACTAAGATTTTAATCTCCAAAACGAGTATAAAGTCACTTAGACTTTAATTTTCGACAAATGAGTAGAAAGTCACTAAGACTTTAATCTAAATGAACAAGTAAAAAATACACTGATTTTGATATCGAAGCAGGAGTAGAAAATCACGAAGATTTTATTCTCCATAACGAGTGTAGAAAAACCAAGAGAATTTTAATTCCATTTCCAAATAGTTTTCCAACTAAACCATTATAACACTTTAAACTGTTTGATCTCTTTCCCTAATCAAACAAATATATGTACACCTTTACATATATTATGTTCACATGATTCTAAAAATATTTTCAAGAGTTAGTGTAAGCCTAATTCATGTCTTACAATCTTGGAAAAATATTATTTCATATAATTTTAAGTATGCTATCAAAGTTATATACCAACTAACTAATTTTATGGCATGCTAACAAATATAAATTATGAGATCTTCACATAATAAACATCTATCCTAACATTTATAGAAACTGAATTCACAAATCACAAAAGATAGAATACTAATAGGAAAACATTATAAGTTGAGTGAGAGAAAATAGAAAACATTACTCTGATGTATTCCCCCGAGACAGTTTCATTCGACACTGCTTTTCTTTTACTGTCTCTTATGTTTTCCTCGAAATATAAATATTATCGAGGTCTAACTCAATTCCTACTGGACAGGAATTGCCCTGAAGATTTTCAGCCAACTGGGTCTCAAAACTCATTCTTTGCACCCCTTTTATCTTCATCATCAAAATCGATTCTTTTCCGAGGCGAACCAAATGGGTTTGTTGGCAGATACAAAGAACAAGTCACCATTTTCCATTTGGCCTCTTTCAAAACTTTCTAAAATTTTGAACTTAATTTCATGTCGTCTAACTTCCTTGTAAGTGACGGTGCTTTAAGAACCGATAAAAGGACTACTTTATCAGTTTATGATCATCCCATGATGATTGTAGTCATTAATTATCCATCCTCAAGTTAAAATAATGTCATAAAACAAATAGTGCAGAATATGAAACAATTTATCAATAATAATTCTCATCTCTACTTTAAAGCACCTTCACATGGCAACCATAATTATGGCACCCACATAACTAAACCATGGAGAATTGACAAATGTTGTCCCAACCTTTAAGAAGAATGATGAACAATAAAGTTGTAAAGTCACGTGGGCTTTTATATACCCAAAACTTTGAAATCATGACATTCTTATCTTAGGATAGGCACAATGTTCGTTCATCAGTACTAGAAAACTGATTACCTTTCTCATAATGCACAGAGACACTGCTTTGTATTCATGAAAGCGACGTTTGCATTTTTCAGGGAAAATGTGCCGCAAGCAACAATTTATATCATCTTTTAATGATTATTAAATTCCTTAAGATTGTTGGTAATCTTTATTCAAAATCAGAAAATTATGTAAAGTAAAAGAGAAACAGAAATGCATAGGAAGAATAAAATTAAATTCCAGCCCACTGAATTCACAGTGTGGCCTTAAGGAATTTAATCTCCTCACTGTTGCCCAAGGTATATGGATTAATTCCTTCCAGGATAGAACGGAATAACTATTATGTGATAGCGGCACTTCAAATCACAGAACTTCAGCGAACTCAACAAACGGAGCAAATCACACTTGACATTTATGTTTATTTAGAAAATAATGCAACAATGTAGAAAAGAGGGGAGAAGATTTCAGATTTTTCATTTCTTAAAAATGAGGCCAAGTCTCTAAATTTATAGACAAAGGAAGGGTGATATGGAGAGGTGCAATCCAAAAGGTGCCTCTTCCATTTCCCATTCACACCCTTTAAAGAAAAAGCGCAACATCAAATTTTTTATATGAAAAATTGAAACGAGATAAGTTTGAATTACCATGATTCTTGGCCTTCTACCCGTATTTAGGGGTCAATTCTTTTCACAAGCGAGTTTCTGGCATCGTAACATTCAAGATCTTTTGTACCCACTAGTCCAAACCTTCAATCACCGGTGGGACCCATCAAGTTTCTGAAACAGACGAAGAATGAAAGATCAATACGACTATTAAAAATCTTTTAGTAAAAGGAAATATTAAATAAAGAGCTTACGAGTGCGGTTCCAAGCGGCCGTAGAGGATGAAGCCGTTGCTGGAATGATATTGTCGGTGGAAATTATAACGAATCGTTCCATCCATCCACGGTCGTTGTCATCATCCATGATAGACAATAAGGCATGGTGGCCACGCTTGTAGAGGTTTATCATTCCCTCGCGGAAGATTTTGGGAGAATAAAGATTTATCATATAAGTTAAGGTTAGCTCCTCCCAGTTTCCTAGCACAAACGCCGGAGAAGAGCAACCGTTCTCCATACAAACTGACTTACTTGTGCCAAACACACCTGGTAAAGGAGGCAAAACTCCGCGATCACAGAGTCAAGCTCTTCGCTCAAAGAAAACGCACCCAAAATAAAGGGATACGTGTAAACATATGTAAAACCTTCCTTGGGAAGGTAGACTCGCTCCGATAGATCGGGAGCGATAATTTCTAAGTCATGGCAGCGACAGTCCTCCTTCACAGCAGGAATGCTCGAAGGACATATGGAAGAAGGATACCTGCTAACGGCCCATGTACGAGAATTAGTAGTAGGGAATTTCTCTTCGAAGTCTTTTGTGGCAATAAGAGTTCTAGGGATGATGGAGCCCACTGTTGGAGGAACAATGTCCTTGGCTTTGTTCTTGCTTTTTGAGAAACCGGTACGTTTTAAGGAAGAGGGCATTGTAGGAAAAAAAGGGTTTGTCATTTGAAGAGAATTAGGAAAAAGATGAAGAAACAATATGCAAGATTAGATGAAGGAAGTTATATAGTGTAAGGGTGGAAGTTGATACGTATAAATAAAAGTTTTGGTGGCTAAATTCATGACCAAAATTACCTCGATAATCGGCGAAAGATGTGTTGAATCATGGGAAGATGCGTGTTCGGGGCATTAAATGCGGAAAGACATGCGTCTAATCAACCGTCAATAGCCTTCAGAGGAAATTATAGTAATTCTCGCCAAAAAGAGTATTTCTGCCAACCTCCTGGTAACACAAAGTTATGTTACTGGAAAGTTGGGGGACTATCTGTATTATGTAAAATATATTATGGCACGTGGCCGTCCGAGAAAGGGACACGTGGAACCCAAGACGGGGATGACTGAAAACAATTATTTCATTTGTCACCAGGTAGAATGATGCTCATAAAGATGTGATAAATGCTCTTCTCCCAGTAGCATTAAATAGGGAATACTCATGGCATTAAGAGCAATTACCCGTTACAAGAAATTTGACATTTATGTTCACCGTTACATCTTCATCAATGCTCCTCATAATTGACATTAAAGAAGGGCACGACCTTAGGACTTTTTTCATAGCTATAAATAGTGAACTCAGGTGTCATTGTAAAGGGGACGACTATTCTGGCAAACTTATACTATATTTTATACAAAACTCAATCCAATCTTAGCTTCTGATTTCTCGATTCTTTTTGTTTTTGTGCCTGAAAACCTTATTCCCGGAATTGTTGCTTCTGTTGTTTTGTCCATATCTTAAAGCTAAGTGTTTCATATGTTTTCAATTATTTATTTATTTTAGGATCAAATTGATTCATTTATCTAGAAACCACGTATAAATTCAACTGTACCATTTTATGGGTGAACTAGATAGCCGTGTAATTAAATTGATCCTTGCCTTTTTTACTAACGTATTTTGATCGTACTTGTCATAAAAAAGTCATAAGAAATGGCACATAACACTGTTAACGACATGCACAACCCCGAGATTCGAGGGTATTGGCCTCATTCCGAGGACTTAATCAGCGAGACCCATAACAAAGGGAATGACGTTACACCAGTGCATGACAGACAGTACCCTCGACATGTTTGGGGGACCACTCTTGATGACGCTGATGAGGAGCATGTCGTCGACACGGTAATGGTCTTGCAAGAGCAACAAGCAATCATTCTAGGCCACCTCATGCGACAAGATAAAGTTATGACGGAGTTGAAGAAAGCGTTGTTGGGAGCTTCAAATAATGCAAACAGACGAGATTCATTCCCTCCAGGGATTTCCACGAATCAAACAACAAGGAGGGTCGACAACAACAATCCCATGGGTGAAATTGGCTCCGATGGGGCAAGAGGGAACGGGTCCGGTCTCAACAACGAGAATGATTCTTTTAAGAATTAACATTTACGGTTCATGAGGGAAGTAAACGTCCGCATGGACCATATCCCAGGTACGCCACCAGTGCTGAAAGGCCCAAACTCGAAGAAGTATACTCAATTGTCATGCAAGCCAAGTGTAGCACCAGAGTTTGTCACACCCCTTTTTACCCCCCAAAAGATAATATGTGTTATTGATTGTGTGGATTAAAGCTTTTTTCCAATTAAAGTGACAACTTTTAAATAGGGATTATTTTGTTATTTAGAGTCGCCACTTGGAATTGATTTTGGTATTCCAAGTCATCCTTTATTTGAATCCCTAGTCAAAGAAAGGTTTGACTCTATTATTATTAGTCTGTGAAAATAAAGTTCGGGTAAGGAATTCTGTTGACCGGGGAGAAGGTGTAAGGCATTTTTCGAGTACCGTGGTTCTAGTACGGTCACTTTATTGACTACATTTGGCTTGTATTTTTTTTTATTTTATAAATTGTGTTTTATTGGTTCTCATATTTTACATATGTCCTCTTTTATTATTAAAATATAAAATTATCTTTGAAATAAATTACGTGTGTGAATCCGCTTTGTTTATTGTACCAAAATCATGTCACGCGTACGTGTACACAATTAGCATCATTTTATTATTATTGGGATTATTTCGTCAAAGTTGCACAGACGCATACCTTGCCTTTATTTTTGGAAATTGTAACTATGTCACGCGAATGTATACATAATCACGATGGTTTGATTAAGATCGTGCCTAGAGCAAACTAACGTATTTATGAGTATTCGAGTATTAATCAATGTAAAAGAAACTATGCCAGCTTATTCTAATTCTTCACGACCCAACGACTAAGCCCAAACCCCCAATGGCCCAGCTTATATCTTAGCTAATGACCCACATCATTTTGCATAGTGGCTTATTTCTTATTAAAATAACCTCTATTTTCCAAATTACTTTTTTTGTAATAATGTAATCTTATCTCTTCACATCTCAATAAAGTATAAGATATGCAAGCAACAAAATAATTGAAGCCGCCAACATTTACCCCATTTAAGAACAAATAAGCAGATACCTAAGACTTAAAATTCGAAGATGCCAAAATTTCAAAGTTCTCCGCCTTTCACTTCTTACTCACTTGAATTCCAATTATCACGCTAGCCATCAATTAGTTAATGATATTAAATGAATAATTAATCATACTAAATTGAATCCAACATGCTAATATTCTTCAAGGAACGATTCAAAGCAAACTAAAATCGGATGCTCAAAACTTAAAATATATAAAGATCATTCATGGTGTATATAATAAAATTAGTGATGCCATTAAGATATGAACTTTAAGAAGAATCTGACTTTGAGAGGTTTACAGCAGGGGAGTCCAAAAGCAAATAAGAACTCCAAATAGGATCTTGATGAACAAGAAACTTCATCGGACAAGGCGCAGACGTCGACGGCACAACAAACTTTTAACCCGATCTCTTCGAACTCAACCAACAATGAACGGATGAGGTCAACACCTGCCGGGTTTTAAACGGTGGTTCAAGGTGATTCCAATGGCGGTTTCGGAACTGTTTAGTGCTGATTTTGAGGGTCAAAATGGGCAGCAATTTTGGTGGTTTCTCGCTACTATTGCTGCTGCATTTTTGCTGCGGCTTTTTGTGTGAAAAAGAGCTGTTTTGGGGTCATTTTCGTAGCTGTTTTGGGGGTGATTTTGGGATGGAATTTGAACTGATTTTACAGGCGAACTGCTGCTGCATTTTTGCACATGTTGCAGCTGATTTTCAATTGATTAAAGGAGCTTTAGAAACTAACTTTCATAGCTGAAAAATGGTCTCTTTGGAGGGTGTTGAGGGTGGTTTAATGGAGGTAATTTTAGAAGGAAGATGAATGTGTGGTAAGGAAGAAGAAGAGGAAGGCAGCTGGGTTTTTTCCTCCTCTCTCAATGTCTCTCTCTTTTGTGTATTTTGTTTTTTGCTTGTCCTTCCTTCTTTTGTATTTAGGAAGATGGGGATTTAGTAAGTGAGGGAGATGAATGAGGGACAAAGAGTGGGGGACATAAGTGGGGGACAAGGAGTGGGGGACATGAGTGGAGGAATGAGTGGGAAAGTAGAGTTAGGTATTGGGGAGAGTGGAAAAAAATTCAAGCACGGTAAAAAATTAGGTGCTCACAGCATGCCCCTATTTGCTTGGAAACATGAAGAGTTTTTAGGCAAAGAAAATATGAGCGATATGACTAATTTTTGGCCATACCATTATTCAAAAGGGAAGAGATAAGAGAAAAGAATGTGACCGAGTCCTGGTTATGGAAAACCTACATATCCCGGGTTATAAGGAAATTACGCTGCATGTAGTTCAAGAAAAAGAATGGAATGCTGAATTAGAGAGTCGAGTGAGGTTCCATCGAGGCTCCGATCTGTGGTCCTATTATTACATCAAAATCAAATGAAACTAAATAAGCCTATCAGCTATGAGTTACAAAAATTCATATTTATAAGTCTTCTAAAACTTGATCTTGAATAGTTTTTCACGCAGACTCTGATCTGAACCTTGAGGCTTGCTAGCTACAGGCACTAGTTCATTCTTCTACGACATCTTCTAATCAAAACGGGAAATGTAAAGTTCGTAACTTCAGTCATGTCTTGAGCAATCCATATCCTTTCCATTTGCTTCTGCATTTGGATTCACTTCTTTTCCTTTTCTTTTCTTTATTCTCGATTGAGAAATCTTCTTTTGTTCATCTCGAACCCTGTGCCTCGAGGTAAAACCTACTCAGACACCACAACAAACAAACGAAAGAAATTTTTTTGTCCCAGTTTTCACTAGGAAAATTTCGTGAGTTATTGTAATAAAATTCTAAACTACTTCTTTATTAAAAGCAATAAAAGATCGAGACTGGTGTACCCTGAAAAGGTCATGATAATTTTTTTTTATTTTTTATTTTTGGATAGTATTCCTTTATTCTCCCAAAAGAATGTCTCAACTAAGGATTGGTGTACCTTATGTTGGGAAAATATGATCAGGGAATGGGATACACTATATTGGCAATGATATCAGGGAGTGGTATATCCTGCATTTAAGATCAAATCAACTAAGGAGTGATGTACCCTATGTTGAAGAACACAGCTAGGGATTGGTGTACCCTATACTGGTAAGGAGATCAGGGATTGGTGTACCCTATACTGGTAAGGAGATCAGGGATTGGTGTACCCTATACAGGTAAGAAAATGTAATCAGGGGATGGCGCCCTGTATTACTTAAATAGAAATGTAATAAGGGGTTGGCGCCTTGTATTACTGAAAAGGGAAATGTAACCAGGGGTTGGCGCCCTGTATTACTGAAAAAGAAATGTAACCAGGGATTGACGCCCTATATTACTGAAAAGGAAATATAACCAGGGGTTGGCGCCCTATATTACTGAAAAGGAAATGTAACCAGAGGTTGACGCCTTGTATTACTGGAAAGGAAATGTAACCAGGGGTTGGCGCCCTGTATTAATGAAAAGGAAATGTAACCAGGGGTTGGCGCCCTGTATTACTGAAAAGGAAATGTAACCAGGGGTTGGCGCCCTGTATTACTG